TTTATCTTTTGCAATGAAACCTTTGTCGCTGTCATACCTTGCGTTTCCGCTTTAGCGGGGTGTGACATGGGTCTTCGTGGGCAAATGGGGGGTCAGGATTATTGACTAAGGGGAATATTAGGCTTTAGTATAAGGTCCATTAGAAAGATCCGGGCCCAATTTGGATAATTGAGCCATTGATGGTTTTATGGACATTATAATGATAGGCTTTTGTTTTGGGTTTGGGCCTTAGTTTTGGATCATATTGGGCCAGGGGTAAAATGGTCATTTTACCCCATGCATGGATTAAGGATTATGGTATGGGACCCAATTGTTAATTGGGTATATTGATTAGTAGTGACAGCTCGGGAAGCTGGCCGGGTAGCAACAAAGGAATTCATGTGGGAAGCTTCTGTAGTGCGAGATGAGTCTTCTCACCATATAAATGGGTCTAAGGCACCAAGGCCGGCACATTTTATGTTATGTGGTACTCTAGCTGTAGTAGAGATATGTGGTATGATAGTTAGCTTTATGTTAAGTGGTATGCTAGTGATTATATGATATGTGTTATGCTAGTTGTCTTTGTGATACTTGTATGGAAGACCCCGGGGGGAGCCCGTGGTATTGGATGTAAGACCATGTGGGGTAGCTCATGACATTCCTAGGTAAAGACCATATAGGATAGCCCATGACATTGGATGTAAGACCATGTTGGGTAGCCCACGGCATTCCTAGGTAAAGACCATGTGGGGTAGCCCATGACATTGGATGTAAGACCATGTGGGGTAGCCCATGGCATTCGTAGGTAAAGACCATGTGGGGTAGCCCATGGCATCCTTACAGGTTTATGTATGTGTGACTTATGTGATATATGTAGCTTTATAGCTAATATGGTATGTGTTATATGGATTGTGAGTAGGGTATTCTCTGGGGGACTCACTAAGCTTCGTGCTTAAGGTTTACAGTTTTGGTTTCAGGTATCATCGATTTGGAAATGAAGAGCTCCGATTGATCGCAGTGCACACATATGATTTCCGCAATGAATGATTTTGGGATGAACTCTGATAAATATTTTACTTAATGATGATTTGAAATGTTTTAAATAAATGGTATCAATGTTTTACTTAATGTGTCCTCACTGAGACACATGACCGGAGGGTCCTTATTGAGATATAGCCATGAGAGGCTAATTATTTGTGCATGGTATTTTGGGGAACTCGCTAAGCGTCGTGGTTACAGTGTTGTGTGAAATGTGTTTCAGGTACCTCTTAGGATCGCGGAAAGGCGTCGGCTTGATTGTACACACCAGCTTGATATTATGTTATTTTGAGGTTTCTGGGATATTATATAACATTTTGTTGTCTTGTGTTTTGAACAACTTATACATTGGGTTTTTGAAACTGTGAGATTATGTTTATGTTGTTTTAAAATGAAAATTTTGTTTGAAAATTTTAGAGCGTTACAGTTAGTTTGTTATGTTTTGGTAATTGTTAGTTTTCTTATAGTTTGATATGTTGGTAATTTTTAGTTTGGTAGTAGTTTGATATGTTGGTAATTGTTAGTTTGGTAATAGTTTTATATGATGGTAATTGTTAGTTTGGTGACAGTTTATATGTTGATAATTGTTAGTTTGGTTATAGTTTGATATATTTGTATTTTGTAGATTGGTTATAGTTTGATATGTTGATATTTTGTAGTTTGGTAACTATTAGTTTATGACAGTACAATCGTATAATAGAAAAAATGAAAAAAAAGTAGAATGTTATAATGTATATGAAATATGTGTACGATGTATGTTTAAGTATATTTGGAAAGTAAAATGTTACAACGGAAAAACGACATAAAAGTAGGATGATATAATTAACATGCCCTTAGTTTGTAAAGTAGAATGCTATAATGATATGTTGGTAATATATTTCATACTTTGTTTATATTTTCCTAAGTTTAGTTATAGTACAATGTTATAATAGAAAAATGAAAAAAAAAATACAATGCAATAATGTATATGTTATAATGCTTATATTGTCGTAAGTTGTTGGTTTAACTTATAAGAATATGTTGTTGTTTTTTTTTGTGACTGGACATGTTAAAACAATGTTAAAAGACCCAGCATGTAGTGTCGCATTTGAAGAATGGTTTCGTTCGTTGCCACAACGAAATAAAACCGGAGGAAATGAGGAGAACGATGAAGATGAGTAGCTACTTTTAGGATTTTTGCAATGATTTATTTGTGTTAGCATTTTATACTAGTATTTTGGATATTCTTATTATGTTTTGGATGAGTATTTTGGACAAATGTCTTTTAAATTAATATTTTGTTGTATATATTATAAATTTTAATATTTTGGATTAGATTAATATCATAGCGGTTCTTATACTTTTTATATAGTTTTTTTAAATTTTAACGTTAAATACTAAAAAAAAAGAAATCACAATTACTGACGACGCCTCTAGTGGTGACGCTCGTGTATTAGGGGGACAAACCTTTAGCGGCGACGAAAGACATTAGCGGCGACAACGCTTTAACGGTGATGTATAGCATTAGCAGTGACTTTGGGAGTATTAGTAACGAGACATCAACGGCGACCTTTTAGCGATGACATCCCAGGCTTTTAGCGGCGATGTCTGTTGCCGTTGATACTCTCTATTATGGATGATGTAGTTGATAAAGTTTTATTTTGGATTTCTAATAGACGTACCAAAGCTAAGTTAAGTTGTACTATTTGGCTTCATAATCATTTTTCTATTACTATGTAATTGTTTTTCTAGCTTCTTGCTATTTTTAATATAATTCAGCCGTTTCAAAAAAACAAAACGAAAAAACAAAAAAAAAATAATAAAATTTACTAATTATACATGCCGTTTTAATGGTTCATTAGTTTATAACTCGTGGAATCTACAGTTACAAAATTAACTAAACTTTCATAATAGAAACTCAAATTAATTAATTAATTAAGTTAAATAAATTATTAATTAAGATATATTTTTAATTGTATAAAATTATAATCATTGATTCAAATAAATATGTGAAATTTTATCACCTTATAATTTGTAGTAATTTTATTTTATTTTTTATTTTAATCTTATTAATTTAATGTAATTAGAATAATAAATTTAAATTTTAAAATTTGAAATTTAAAATTTGAAATTTGAAATAAAGCATTAATAGATTGAAATATAACATGACATTAATTAAAATGATAACATTGTCACAAAAAAAAATTACTCTTTTATTAATACACGGAAGATATGGGTAGAACGAGTAGCCTTTTTTTTTCCATTAATGAGTACGTAATGTTTTCTAATCAACCCATTAGAGAAGACAAGATATTGTTGAATTTTATCGGGACATTCATATTTAGTATAGAATTTGTAGGAGCAACACATAGTTTTTGATGCTAGTGGCGTGGAAAGCATCGAGTGCAAAAAAATCGCAGAGTACGAGTCAACAGGAACAAACTAAAAGAAAAAGAAAACATTGTGGAGTTTGTACGGTTCTATTTATGTCTCAAGACTATATTTGGAAACCATTTGCTTAAGAATTTCTCTTGTGTTTTCACCACAAATCTCTTACTTTATTCAAGTATAAATAGGTTCTTGTGATGGCCATTTCAATAATTTACTTCCTCCAATGGCTTTACAATTCAAAACCTACATCCTCATCATCCCCCATCTTTTTACACTGACAGTGTTTTCCGCCCCAGATATCACTGATATCACTGCCCCTGCTCAGGGTGGTGCTGGTGGTCACATTAAAGGTGGTGCTGGTGTTAACCCACACGTGGTGGACGGAGGATCCGATTATGCAAAGCCAGAGATCGAGACACATTTTCTGGGAAAATGGGTGCTTGAAACCGCTGATGTGCGTGTCAGTGCAATGCAATTACAGTTAATGCCTAACGATCAGGTCATCTGGTATGATGCAACATCGCTCGGGCCTTCAGCCCGAAAACTTGAACCCGAAGGAACATGTCCAATTAACCCGGACGCAAATAACCAGCCTGATTGCTACGCTCATGCTGTTGCTTACGACTGGAAAACCAAAAAAAGTAGAACGATAGTGGTAAGTTTCTTCTTATATATATATAGTATTTAGGGATAATAAACGACTTGACAAAAATATTCAAGTTAAAAGCTACATTCCCTAGTATTTATCCATGTATAAGGATTTAGTTAATTGATGAGTATACATCCGTTACGTTTATTCTATAGCTGTCTGGTGAACCATGGTGCTCGTCAGGAAACTTGTGGCCTAATGGTAATATGGTGGCTACCGGAGGTACCTTCACTGGTGTAAAAGCTGTTAGAATGCTGCCTATGAATGATTTGAAAGCAAACTTCATAGAAAAGCGAAATGTTCTTGGCGACTACAGATGGTAAGTGAAAAATATCATCGATCTTACATAATTTATACATGCACGACGATCCTGAGGTGTAAGTTATAACGTGTTGTATATATTGAATCAATATATAACAGGTATGCAACCAATCAGATTTTAGAAGATGGGAGCTCACTGGTTGTCGGAGGTCGCGAGGCTTTCAGCTATGAAATCGTGCCACCTTCACTCGACTTCAAACCGAACAAAATCGACTTCCCTTTCCTTAAACAAACATGCACACCCGGTAAGGGACCAAACAAATTCATAGAGAACAACCTTTACCCGTTCGTTTTCCTCCTTCCCGACGGCAACGTATTTGTTTTTGCCAACGACAGGGCGGTCACCTTTAAGCCATTAACAGGAGAGATCCTTCAAGAACACCCTGTGTGTCCAGGTGGATCACGTAACTACCCTCCTTCCGGCAGTTCTGCTATTCTCCCATTCAAGCTCTCTGCTGATAACAAGCACCCCCTTAATGTTGAGGTTGTCATTTGTGGTGGTAACAAGCCTGATGCATTTGAAGTGGTCGATGCAAAGCATGTTAAAGAAAAGGTGTACGTACCTGCACTTAAAGACTGCCATAGAATCCACCCAATGAAGAAAGATGCAAAATGGGAGCCTGAACAAGATATGCCAACACCTAGGATCATGGGTGATCTTTTACACCTCCCCACCGGAGATCTCATTATGATAAATGGCGCCAAGAAGGGTACCTCTGGTTGGGAAGATGCCACAGACCCTAACTTTACACCTCTTTTGTATCAACCATATAAACCAATGGGTAGCAGGTTTAAAGAACTGAATCCGACAAAAATTGCTAGGATGTATCATTCCTCCTCAGCATTGTTACCGGACACTAATGTATTGGTCGCTGGTAGCAATCCACACCAGTTCTACACCGTGAATGCCGAGTTTCCTACAGAATGGAGGGTTGAAAAGTTCTCCCCTCCTTACTTAGATCCTAAGCTCGATAACCAAAGACCGGTAATAGATGCAAAAGGTACAGATAAGGTGTTAAAGTATGGAAAGCCATTTAAGATTGTAGCTAGTCTCCCATCGAAAGAACCTATGGTGCTGGGAGAGATTAAGGTAACCATGTTGTATCCACCATTCACGACTCATGGTTTCTCACAAAACCAGAGGATGGTTGTTCCCACATTGACGGATGTTGTTGGTAACGTTATAACTGCGTTGGCACCTCCATCAGGAAAGATTGCTCCTCCTGGGTACTATATTTTATTTGTAAATCGCCTTGGTGTCCCAGGAAACGGTATTTGGGTACACATTGAGTAGAAGAGACCCTTGTTTTGTTGTAATTGTGGAAACTATCATAGTCTAACTATATATATTGTGAATCACTAGGACGACGTTGTAGTCTAGCAAGTTCATACAAGAGTCTAAATAAATGATCAAATACTAAAAAGATAGTTGTTGAGAACGCTCAAATTCAAGTTGTATTGACATATATCTATTCCAAACGATTATATGTCATGGTGATTAACATTACGGTATCTACAATACTAGATACCATATTGAACTTTATATAAAGTTCATAAAAAAAAAAGAAAAAATCACATCGTCATTATATATTTTATACAACTTTATCAATTTCTTTACGATGCATCCAGCCAAGGACGAATTTAAAGACAATTAAAGGTGTCCATGGATGCTCCTTATTTTTGGAATTATTTAAGATTCTATATGACAAGTTTTAGTTAGACACCTTTTATGAGTTTCAAATGTATGACCATATGGTTTACTATTTAAATGAAACCGACATAAAATGGAAAAAAAAAAAATACTAGTTGTGGATCCGTTATGTGTTTGGTTGTATAAGCAAAAAAAAGATTAAAAGTTCTTATAATTATATACTCAACGAGATAGGAAGAAGCAACAATTTATTTTAATTATTTTCTTTTTTATATCTAATTCTAAATGTATTGGGCTAAATGAATTCACATTTGTGCTAACGAAATACAAAATATAGGCTTTTAATTCTGGATTTATATTATATATTTAAACCAAAAAGTTTGTGATATATCACAAAAAGAAATTAAGGCAGTTCAAATATGATTTTTATATATTAATTGTAAACAAAATTTAAAAGTAGGGTGGTAAGTGACCTACCTTAGTAGTTTGTACTATATGGACTCACCAATGGAGCTTGGACACACCTTGTTGCAGAATAAATTAATAAAAAATAGGAAATGACTCAAATGCCCTACGAATGTTTTACAGTTAGTCCACTTAGTCCCTAAACTATTTTCTTGACTTTATGAGGATACAAAGTCGATATTTACCTACTTATTTGGTCACCATTACCTATTGCATTTGGTTACCCCTACCACTTAACCATTTTTGTTGATTTTGCTGATTACTCAAATGTGATGTGGCTACCTAGTTAGACCACATGGATCCAAACCAATTGTAATATGGATTTACAGTACCAAAAAAACAAAAAAAAAACTCTGATGCAAAATTGAATAAACATTCATAAACATCAAGACATTCATGTTCTTGGCCAGTCTCCTATTTTTAATGATATTTGGACCGACAAAGCACCTGATATGTCGTTCATGGTGAACATGCATTCATACAAATATGGTTACTACATTGATGGGATATACCCTAATTATTCTACATTTAGGAAGGCATATACTCAGTTCTTCGAAGTGAAAAGAGACAATTGTTCACAAAAAGGCAGGAATCAGCGAGAGAGGATATCGATAGTTCATTTGGAATCCTCAAGCAAACATGACGTGTAGTGAAATACGCTACACAAATCTAGGATGAGGATAGAATTAAACGAATGGTAAATGTATGTATTATAATGCATAGTATGTTTATTTAAAATGAAGGTAGAGCGATTTGCACGTATGATCCGGACTATAACATCCCAAAATCACGATAAAATTTTCATTTTTCAATTAAAGTAAAATCATTGTTTTAATCAAAATCCAAGTCATAAAAGCCAAGTATCAGATACAATTATCCCAAAATCAGATTATCATAAAATCTCCAAAACATATCATTGAAGGATGTGTACGGTCATGCCTTTGTCTTGCCCCGATCATCTGAACTACCTGAAACATAACACTTAAACAGTAAGCCAAAGCTTAGTGAGTTCCCCCGAAATACCACACACAAAACATAAGCAAACATGTACACTGGGCGCACAACCTATGTCTAGAATACCCCTACATGGCCCTCAACATAAGTCTGGATTACCCCATAGCCCACAACATGAGTCTGTTATGCCCTTCTCGGCCCTCAACCCATGTATGGAATGCTCCCGAGCCCTTAGCATGAGTCTGAAATACCCCTACATGGTCCTCAGCCCATGTCTAGAATGCTTCTGGTATCTTGGCCTTCCGCACAAAGTAGAACCGCCTCAACCCAATCCGTTACAATATGTTGACATATGCACATAAACAATATCCAACAATAACATATAATCATGCAGATCTAACATATCACTAGCAAATACTAACATCCTAACCAGGATACATAACCTAGTGGGTCGGCATTGGTGCCTTCAACCCATGAGTACAGTGAGGAAAACTCACCTCACAATCTAAAAAATAGCTGAACAAATCACAGCTCCAAACGCTGACTCTACCGGTCACCAAAACAATAAATAGGTACCTAATCTCAAACTACCATTCAAAATACCCAAAATGCTCCTAAGTCAAACTAGGTCAAAATCCTGGTCAACGGTCAAAGTCAAAAAGTCAAAGGGTCAAAACAGGCTTAGTACGCCCAGCGTACTCAGTCACTACGCTTGGCATAGTGAGGTCCTTCTTGGCTACAGGGGTCCAACTTGGTACACGCATCGTACTACCAGGTATGTCCAGTGTACTAACGTTAAACCCAAAACTTCTCGTTAAGTCCTTAATGTAGAAAGCCAATTCATCAAACTTAAAATCTAGGCAAAAGGGGGTGTCTCAATGGATAAAGTCATCGACTTTATCCATTTGCATGCATACAAAAAGGGTATAAATTCAAACACTAGGTCCCAAAAGTCAGCCAAGGCTCCAAAACTCATGCATGGCTTAATGCGAGTGACCAAGCTCTCATTTTTATGACTCCATAAGCTCAATACTACAGAAAACTACACTTCAAGGACTTGGAGTAGCTTATACTTTACTAGACCAAGTTTATGGGACCAAAAATGTATAGAAACCCTAGACTAGCAAGATCTGAGCAAATAAATCATCAAGTCCCAACCTTTATACCATCTAAGGATGCTTGAGGGTGAGATACTTCTGGATCTAAGCTACCTTGAACTTCCAAGCTGATCTACCACATTCTTCCTCCTTCACAAGCACAAGTATACACACTTTCAAGATCAATAACACACATCAAGGGAGTAGGGTTTGCAAGGGACGTTTTTGGGTGATGGAGGCTGATGGTGGAAGGGTCTCAAAGAAGTTAATGACATTATATAAGGCTCAAACCCTAAAAATTTAGGGTTGTTTACTGTGGCAGTATGCCCAACGTACCTAAGGTACGCTGAGTGTACCATCAAAAGCCCTAACGTCTGATTAAATGAGTTACGCCAAGCGTAACTCTAGCTTACGCTCAGCGTAAGGAGAAAATTGCAAACATTTTAAACTTTTGGGCAAAAAATGTCAATACTTGGACAACTAGTGTTACATGGACGACGTAGTTATCCCGATTGAAGAGTTTGTATCCGGAACGACTAAATATTTAGCACGAGTTGTTGACATTAAAAACAGTAAAACGTGTTTCAATCTTCTACAATATGTATTATAATTCGAGAAGATGTCGCATAGCATTTGTACCAAGTAAACATGAACGAATATCAGTTTTTTTTATGGTTTGGATTTTTCTATTTGTTTTTTTTATTCTACCTTTTTTTTAAGTAATGTAATTTTTTTAAATTAATGTAATATTTTTTTATTGAATGAAAAACTAGTTAAAAAATCTATGTTTTTATTGTATTTTTTTAATTAAAAAAAACTAAAAAAAAATGATGTGGAGTGGTGTTTTAGTTGTAGGTATCTCATGGTTTAGTGGTAAGATATAGTGATGAGGTGGCACCCACCACTATAGTGGTTAGTGGTGGGTATTATGGATGACCTAATAGAACTTATCATTTTAGTATTATATATATATATATATATATATATATATATATATAGAGAGAGAGAGAGAGAGAGAGAGGGAGAGAGAGATGAATGATCATTTGAGAACTCATAGTTTATAGAGAACCTAAGAACCAAAAGTATAGAGTTGGATAAAAAAAAAGAATGACCAAGATGCATTGTCACATTTTTGTAAATAAGTGGAAAAATAAAGGGACGGAGGCATCGAAATTTAATGGCATTAAGGGCATTTTAGGATCATAGAAGTTGACTCCATACACACACATCTCCTGATCACCATTCCTAATAAGATCTCTCTCTCTCTCCACCGTATCTCTTCCCTTCCATCAATCGTCTATGTCGTCCCTCAATTGACCACCTCTACCTTCATCGACAATCAACATCTGCTACCAGTCAACAATCCTTAATATCCAGATCATTGACGGCGAATTACGAACCAATAGATCGACATCGTGCTTGTTCATCTTCAATTGTGATAGTCGAAGCCCTAAATCTCCCGATTCATCATCATCGATTAATCAGATCGAATTTTCTTACCACATCGGTTGGACTGCGATTATCTCAGTTAAGGCCACGATGATGTACTCTGAAAAATCTTATTCGGTTGTTCATCTCAATATAGGTAGCAAAATCATATTCTTTGGTCATATATTTACGATTCAATATAAGACTGAAAAAATTAAGCCATTGTCGTTCGATAAAAGATGAGCAAGAATAGAGTTGGAAGGTTTTCACTTCAGCAACAGTTCCAACTTGGAGCACTTGTGCTGGTGTTTCTCTGTATATGTACTATTTCATTCTCAGAGATCATCTTCGACGAGCGTTTTGATGGTAATTTTAGAAATTGTTACACGTTGCTTACTTTTTGTAGCATCTAGTGATTCCAGTCAAAGTGTTAAGCAACTAGATAAAAAAATACTGAATGTTCTGTCAAATCAAACTGTCGTAACATAATGTACCGATTTTAAGTTTGTATCAAGAGGCTTTTAGTGTAATATCGAAGTTAAGTTGTTGTTCAGTGAGAAATGTGTTTGAAGAAGTTTTTTTATCTATAACGATAGGGGAGTGTATATCTCGTTCTACGTACATGTCATGTAAATATGTTTAGGATTTCCTGCCACAAGTAGGGATTTTATGAAGGATAATCATTTTAAACTAAATCAA